CTCTAATATCTACTCTATTGCGACGGACAATATTATTATGCTCATCTCTCAAGATATAAGACCTTGGAGCTTCATGCTGCGATACTATTTGGGCTGGTTCCCACCTCTTTTGACATTGATTGTACATAACAACATCTGTCTCAGATTCTAACGACTCTAAATCCTTAACACCTTGGTTATAGTCTCTAACATACACATTTCTCCTTTTACTTAATTTTTCTTTCACATTTATGCATAAAGCTGGTTTTAACATATCTTGATCAATAGGTAATTTGGTTCTACAGTGTCTGCTCATTAAGAGTTGTGAAGGAGTATAACCAATGTGTTTAAGGGGTGAATTCCTATATTGTAATAATGCTGATTCAACATCAGACCTATCATCAATAGACTTTTTAACAATACTCTTAGCAATTGCTACACCTTTCTCAGCAAGCCCATTTGACCGCGGATAATTGGGACTTCTAAACTTAATTTGAAAATTCCATTCTGTAGCAAAGTTTTTAAAATGGTAGCTATTAAAAGGAACATTATCACAGCATATATAAGCTGGTGAACCATGTATAGCAAACATTGATTTTAGAACTTTAATGACAGAAAAAACAGATTTGTCTTTTATCGAGTGAAGCTCTATCCAGTTTGAAAAAGAATCATAAGCGACTAGATAACTTGTACCATAACATGTGAAAATGTCAATGCCGATTCTTTCCCATGGATATTCTGGTAAAGGGTATGGACATAATGTTTCCCTTTGTTGCTTCGATCTAAACTTTTCACAAGATTTACATTTTTTTATATAAGTCTCTATATCAGAGCTCATTCCTGGCCAGTAAAAAATTTGCCTGGCTCTAGCTTTTGATTTTTCAATACCAATATGACCCTCATGCACTAGCCTTAACATTTCAGATCTTAAGCTTTTAGGAGCAACAATTTTATTCCCATAAAATAACAAGTTATCACAGACACATAAGTTGTCTCTGAGCTTAAAAAAATTATTAACTATCTGTGGCACATCACGCTTGTGTTCTGGCCATCCCTGTATGCACAGGTTTATAACAGTTTGCAATTGCTCATCTTTTTGGGTTTCTATTCTAAACTCTGATTTTCTAGTATCAGACATAGCAACATTATTTACTACAGCATGAACTGCGAACTGAAATTCAGCATCTGACTTCAGACCTCCTTCTTGTAAAAATGCCCGAGATAATGTATCTGCAATGTACAGATACTTTCCAGGTTTATATACTACATTTAAGTCATAATGCAATAGCCGTAAACGCATTCTTTGCAAACGTGGAGATAATGCACATATATCTTTACGAACTATTGATTCTAGAGGTTTGTGATCACAACTAACAAGCACATTGTGACCATACACAAAATAATGAAATTTTTGAAACGCAAAAACTATTCCTAACATTTCTTTCTCAATCTGAGCATATTTTTGCTCAGTTGTGCTTAAGCTCCTAGATGCAAAGGCTACTGGATGGCCACCTTGCAGCAAACAAGCACCTAACCCATCTCTACTGGCATCAGTTTCAATTTCTATTTCTTTAGATGGGTCAAAAAATGTTAGCACTGGTGATGCTGTTAGCAAATGTTTTAATTGAAACAAAGATTTATCATGAATACCAGTCCAGTGCCAAGGGACATCTAATTTTGTTAGTTCTCTTAATGGGGCTGTGACTTTTGACATGTTAGGTACAAATTTGCCCAAAAACTTTGCCATCCCCAATAGTCTCATTAGATCAGATTTATTATCAGGTGTTGGCATTTCTAGAATAGGTTTTACATATACTTGATTTAATTCAACACCTTGTTTGGAATAAATCTGACCTAAAAATTTAACACTACTTAACTTGAATTGAATTTTTTCCTTATTGAATCTAAGGTTGTGCTTTAGGGCCTGTTCTAGTACAAGGCGAAGGTTTTGGTCATGCTCTGCTTCATTAGCACCTGTAATAATCAAATCATCAAAATATAGACCAACACCTTCAATGTCACCAAATATTTCATAGTTTTTTCTTTGAAAGACTTCTGGGGCTGAGCATATTCCAAAAGGTAAACGACAAAATTGATACCTACCGAAGGGAGTGCCAAAAGTACAATAATCTGCACTCTGATCATCAAGTTTAATTTGAAAGTACCCATCTTTCATATCCAGAACTGAAAAATACTCTTTGTTACACAATTTTGCAGCAATTTCATCTGCTGTGGGTATCAAAAAGTATTCTCTTTTAATAGCTTTGTTCAAGTATTTAGGGTCTAAGCACAACCTTAAATCCTTGTTTTTCTTTTCCACAATTACAAGTGGGTTTAACCACTCTGTGGGTTTCTCTACCTTTCTGATAATACACTCATTTTCTAGTTGTTTTAATTTATCTTTTAGTTTCTTATGTAATGCATGAGGAACCCTACGAACTGGTTGAACATGAGGGACTGCACCTTCTGTCAATGAAATGTGATAATCATTAGGGAATTGTCCAAGCCCCTGAAAAACTGTGGGATATGCTTCTACAACTTTAGCCATAGTTTTGAAGTCTACATCTAAACTTTCTACTCGCTTAATGAGATTAAGACTAATACAAGCATCTAACCCCAACAAAGGTACTTGGTTCTGAACATCAACAACAATAAATTTAATATCTGAAGATGCAGCCTCTACCTTGCAATTAATTATAATTTCTCCTACAGGTTTTATTTTAAAATCATCATTACCATAAGATACTATTGTAACATTACTTTTATTTATTTTTTGTATACCAAGATTTTTAATATACTCAAGAGGTAGAACATTTACTTCTGCACCAGTATCTAACTTAAATTCTACTATGCAATTTTTTACCTGAACTTTCTGTTTCCAGACATTCTGAGAATTTCCAGATTTCAATAAGCCTACAGTTTTGACACAATTGATAAACAACTCACTATCATCACTTTCACTACCACTATGTTGGTTTTTTACTTCATGTACTCCCTTCCTGCTCACCGACTCTCTTTTCTCCAGACCGTTGGTGCTCTTACTACACACTCCAGCAAAGTGGTTTCTACCCTGGCAACGGGCACAAGTTTTGCCATATGCTGGACACTTTCTTCCTCGATGCTTGAACCCACAATAACTGCAAACTTTTTGTGATGTGCCTCTATTTGACCTCACTGCATCCACTGTTGATTCAGCTGTAAACGCTTTTGCTTGGATTTTACTGCTTTCACTTAGTCTACATGTTGTAATAGCCTTTTGTAATGTCAGCTTGGATTCTCTTAGGAGACTTTCTTGTGTTTGTTTGTCTTTTATTCCAATAACAATTCTGTCTCTAACCATGTCGTCCTGATCTTTATATTCAGTCATTTTCACTGCTTTCTTTAACTCAGTCACGAAACTATCAAAATTTTGCCCCTCTTTTTGGACAATGCTGTTGAACTTAAACCGCTCATAAATTACGTTAGACTTATGGGAGCAATACTCTTCAAACTTATCCAAGACAGGTTGCAACTTTTTATCGTCTCCTTCTACATTAAATGTGAAAGTGTTGAACAATTCCAATCCATCATCTCCCAGTAAACTTAAAAATGTGGCCAGTTTCTTTTTCTCAGGCTTATCTTCTAAATCGGTGGCGTCCATGTAGAGGTTAAATTTTTTGAGAGAACCTCCTCCAGTTTGCCGCCAAATTGCCATCATCTAATACAAGGGGTTCTGGGGGTTTAAATTGATTTTCCATTTTTCTTCTAGACACAACTCGAATAAACCCCGGCCCGACCTGACACCATGTAAGATATGGCTTAAAATAAACACTAGAGATCTTTCGTATAGGTTTATTTAAGAATACATAACACAAGTGTCTCAATAACTTCTAACCTCAGTGTTGCGGCTGCTACCGTCAGGCGCCTAGGTGACAACTGTCCTAACAGGTAACTGTCATTACCATTACCTTTTAGGACTTCAGCCACCTTTACATATGGCACATATTACAACACTTTCCAGACAGTTAAAAAATTTTTCTTCAATTCTTACTTAATTTCTTGTATTTTCTAGCATTACCATTTAGGTACTGTACGCTCTGCTACCATGTTAATATTGTTAATAATATTAGATCGTCTAACTAGAAAAAACTTCCTTGTAATAAAATAATGACTGTGACTTATTGTTATTTTATTTCCATCAAAATTGACATTTTATACTTGTCTAAACTACAAAACTTAACTCATTAACTTATTTACAACATATGATAGGATGGTAAATTACGTAGATGCCTTCTTCATTCTGCTTTAACACTTTCCATGACCTTGATTTAGTAATTAAAAACTAAGAATTACACTATTTAATTGACACCAATTTGGTTGTCTATTATTAGGCAACCAATATTACATCTAGTCAAGTCGTCAAAAATTTGACCTCTAAAAACCATACCAACAAGCTGAATTTCGCTAGAAATGTCATTTTTGAGATCCCAAAAAAGATGCAAAAGAGTAAAAGAGTTTGTCATTCTCCCTCCAGAGACAACTGAAGTATAACGCCATAATTACAGTTGATGTGTGTGAATAAAGTACACAATGATTTGACAGAACCTGAATATTAATTTTTTTATCTTTTATATTTATTTTTATAAATATTCCTACAGTACACAAATAATATTCAATTTTCCTGTAAGTATATCATTAAATGAGCTAGATAATCAGGCAGGAATAGTGAAGTTAAAAACAGAAGAAGTGGCGACAGAGCGGCGTTGCCTGAATAAAGTTTTTTCTGCAAATTGTACAAATAGACTGATAAATAAATTTCTCCATGATCAATACAATACAAATATATTGGTGAAATGTTTATTACATTTAATTGTTTGAATTAGAATTAGTGGGCCACATATTTTTAATGAGTTTAACTGAATACTACTGGTGGTTTTTATTTTAACATCAGTATGATTATCCAAACCTAATGCTGATTTTCAATATGAGATTTGACAATCCTGCATTATTGTTTGTTCTTTTCTTGACTACTCCGCCATTTTTTATTTGAGGTAGTTGTTTGTTGAAAACAATTTCACAATTTAAAAACTAAAACAGAATAATACAAATGTTCAGTACTAAGAACGAGTAATTTAATACACATATATTTCGGTTTTAGCTAAAAATGTCTTCAATCGGCGGTGATAACGATGATGCATACATCGCAAAGTTGCGGGGTTTACCTTGGTCGGCGACTCCAGATGATATTCTTAATTTTTTTGACGATTGTAATATTTTGGACGGAAAAGACGGCATACACATGACTACATCTAGAGAAGGACGGCCTAGCGGTGAAGCTTTCGTAGAATTCGAATCTGAAGATGATTTAGACACAGCTTTGCAAAAGGATAGAGAACACATTGGGAATAGGTACATTGAGGGTAAGTTTGTGATCTTTGGCTATAAGAGACAGGTTTACGTAGTTGGAAAGTAGCAATAATAAGGTTTACTACAGCTGTTTTGATAAAATCTCCCGTGTCTACTGAAAGAATTCAAATAAAACTTACTACCTTCTTTATACTCTAGTGCTTTTACCTATTGAACAACTTGTATCATACGTAAGTATTTGTTTTCGTTAGTTTTTAAGGTGAACAAGGCTGAAATGGAATGGGTGGTAAAACGGTCAGGTCCTTCATCTGACTTGAATGATGATGGATGTGTTAGGCTTAGAGGGCTACCCTTTGGCTGTTCTAAGGAAGAAATTGCTCAATTTTTTACAGGTAGGATCTATTTAATTTCTTATTTTTGTAACTTGTTCGATATTTGGGGACTGACTTAGTAAATATGACAGTAAGGTAAATGACTAGTCATTGCCACTATAAGAAAGGTAAAGCTAAAAACCATATAAAGACAAAAACTGATAATTGCCACAAAATTTTTCAAAATACCAATTATTGCCATTCAGTCATTGCCATAAATAAATAACATTTTACTGAAAAATCTTATTTATTAATAAAAATCTAAACAAAACAATGAAGACTTTCCATGTAAAATACATGATATAAAAAATAAGAAAAAAAAATTGAACTATAAATCTGTTTTCCACAGGTTTTGGGCCTCAAATATATCAACTGTAAATGATGCAAATTGCAAAAACTCAAAGTAATCATAACTGATCTGTTCACTAGTGGGTAAAATAATAGATGTTGGCAGTATGCCCAAAATATGATTTTCATTAACAAAATAGATGTCTTTTTCATCACAACATATCTGTATGTTAATTTTCTTTTACCTCATGAATTCCACAAGTACATAGTTTCCCGCACTAAGTTCGCAGTGAGTGAAGCACTAGGCAAATTTGTTATGGTCTTCATAAAATGCTATGTCATCACAGCTTCTACCACTCTCGACCCACTCTTCATCCTCTATATATTGGTGATGTATTCATAAAATGTACTAGATCACATCCATTCATTATCTGAAGTTAATAGAGCCCATTCTTTTAGAACGGAATTCTTTCACATGCCAACACAATCATTGGAGGGGCAGTTTCTCCAGCAGCATTAGCTGTTACCAAAACTGTGAAACCATTTGTCACTGGGACAGCTATGTATAAATGATTTCTCCCTTTCTGTAGAATTCATTATTTTTTGAACTGCATTCAAAAGCTTAACTTTTGAGATAGCAGATTGTCTTTCTGATAGATGTAAAATATATTTTACTAGAACCAATTCTTCTTTCTTTGGTTAAAATTAAATTGTAGAAGGGACCATAGAACAAACTAATGGTGATTTCCCATCCATCTTATGCCTAAAAGTACTACGAGGAACTACATGATTTTTTGCTGCAGTAGCTGCTAGGAATCCCTTTTTCACATCCTCTACAGCTTTGGCCAATTGCTCTTTCGAATAATTTTTCGATACATAAAATTCGAACTTATGATTGCCACTTTAGAACCAGTGATTGCCACCACTGGCAATAACTGGTAAAAGTAAAATTTTTGCAATAAAAAAAATTGTGGCAACGCTAATTTTAAATAGTAAATTTACACATTGTAATGAATTTAAAATAACCCAAACCAATAATGGCCATTTGTGGCAATTACTGGTATTCATAAAATATTTTGCAACCAGTCATTGCCAGGTTCATTTCTTTAGAAATATGGACCCTTAACTGAATTTAAACAGCAAACAAATATATTTAAGAGAACATCATGTGCAAATAAGTTTATAAAACAATAATATACAAAAGTGAATTAGAAAAAGAAAAATGTTCTTACCATAATTTTTTCATAAGAAATCACAAAAAACAGAAAGCAGTTTTACACAACATGACTCTAAGTGGTATACAACAAAGTTGGCTGAAGCTTGAGTGTTGTACAACAGTATGCAGTTCCAAATATAATAAGGTATTAGTACTTGCAACAAATATAATTTGATTTCAAGTCATTTTCTTAGAATTTAAGGGTCAGTGGCAATAAATTGTACAGTGGCAAGGACTGGTTGTTTACCTTAAGTATATTTTGGACAAAGCTGTTTTGGTATATAATTTTTGCACAAACTGCTATAGATACAAATGATATTATGTAGCAAAAAGTTGCTGTTATTGAAAAAAACATTCAAATATAACAGAATGTGGATAAAAAACTTTGCAAAAATAATGGAAGAGGTCAAATTTTATAGATTTAAAAACAAAACAATGAGAGTTGGTGCAAATAAACCAAAAAATGTTTAAGAATTGGAAGAAATTAATGAAGAGCAAATAGAGGAAGCTAGATATGTGGGATGACGATTAGGGCAAAATAGAAGAAAGAATTGAAGAAGTTATAATAAAAAATTTGATCTGTATTGTGAAGCAACATGAGAAAAGGAACTTCTTCCACAATAAAAACTGAATAAGACAAAAATTACAGGCGTGATTTTAAAAAACATATAAAAGCAATATCTTTATTGTTTTATCTATTAATTCACAATGAATAAATAACTTTAATATCCAATAAAATAAAGGTTTTTTTTATGTTATGATGGTTACAGACCATTGGTTTTTTTCTTACTGTTACTTGTTAATAACTGAGTCATCCCCATTAAGAGTAAATTTGCATTTTTTATTTATTTCAAAATATAAGTTGCTGAAAAACTGATGATATTAAATATATTTTTACTAAACAACAAAGAGTCCACAAACTAGCTTTGCAAAACAGTTTTTTAAGGGCTTTAGCTGCTTTTTTATGTATTTTTCGATGTAATTTACAAAAATTCAACACGAAAGTCTTTTAGAAGTTAGTTTATGTTATAAAAAGTATTTGTTGGCACTTTGTATGTTTTACATGTCAAAATATTTTTATTTTTGAATTATATGCCACATAATCTATTAGTGTAGTGATCGAATTTTGAAATAATAATGTTGAATCACAGAGATCGATACTTCTGGGAACAGAAAATTAGAAATGTCTTAAGATGAACACATAAGATTCATGTTTTTGTATAATAAATAGCAAAATAATGTAATGATTAGCTCAAACCTTTGGATTGAGCTAATTTAAGGACATTTGCGACTATATTCAGCTTGAACTTTCGTTAAAGTTAACTAAAATTCCATATCGATAAGTTTTATATTGGAAACAAAGAACATATAGTGTTTTTTTTTTTAATTAGAAAGATAGGAAAGATTGCATTCTTTATAGGTATCACCGCACTAATGCATAGTGTGGTATATATAATTTGTCCAATCAGGATCTGTACCAAAGTAACTACTAAAATCATTGTAGTGAGTCCTGAACTTGGATTTTTATATTAATATATAAGAAAAGTTGTTTATTAGTAGAATTTCGATATGCTCCAGCTGGAAAATCAGATAAAAATTTAGAATGAAAGCTCAATGTTCTCTTTTTCTTGTTTTTAAAATGTTTATCCTGTATATTTAGTAAAGTATCGTATCTATGACAAAAATTTATAATGAATCAAATTTCTTATAAAAATATGCTTGTGTGTTAAAGTGAATATTATTCTCAAGCTGTTTTCTTGTTGCACTTTAATGCAGCTACTATTTTAATTGGGAATAAGCCACAATTTAAGTATATAATGTTTAAAAATATTTATCAAATAGACATTTAAGTGCAATGGAGAGTTTAATACTGTTGTCCAAGGGTCTTAACTTTGCTGTTACTTATCCATCTATTCCAAAATTAGACAATTCGTCGAGTGGAGAAAATGTCTCAATATTTACCAACCCAGAAAAAAAAAGAATATAGAGCATTATGTAAAATTCAATTGGAAAAGTTAAAAAAAAACTAAAAAACATAAGAAATGAGAACCTTACCCATAGGTACTGGAGAACTAAATGGTAGAAAGCTGTGTAAGTACTGTAAAATATATCGATATTCTCTATAAAAGTCAAATTCCACCCTACTACTGTGAAATGGCAAAAACACTCTTTTCTAGAAAGGTTAGGATATGTTACTTAAACTCACATTTACTCCCAAATATGTTTGATATAATTATTAAAGAAAAATGGACAAATTATCAGTACATTTTTACTGATGGGTCAAAAGATGCAAATGGAACAGGCTGTGCAATATTCCATGAAAATAAAAATTGTTATCATCAGTATAGCTTACCCAGTGAATGCTCAATATACACAGCAGAAATGATGGCAATATTGTTTGCTCTTCAGTATGTAGTACTGAATCCGACTAGTAACTATGTTATATTTACTGACACTTTAAAGCGTGGTAGACAGACTTAACCACATTCGAACATGAACACATTTGACTGAAAATTCTTTATGAAACTATACAATTAGGATTAAATGTAATAATTACATGGATCAAGGGCCATTCGGAATAAAAGGCAATGAGATCGTTGACAATTTGGCTAAATCGGCATATATGCTTGGAGTAAAAGTAAACAAAATTTAATTCCAGCGACAGATATTGACACCAGTTAGTAGACAAAAACTTAAAAATAATTGGCATTTACATTATACAGAATGTAAGACTGCCTTAAACTTTTATGATTGTAACACTAGGATACCCTCAAGAAGATGGTTCTACATAGAATCTAATCGACATTTTATAAAGACCATTAATCGGCTGAGAGCAAATCATGCTCTTACGCCATCTTACATGCATGGAATCGGCTTATCAAATACTCCCAATTGTACTTGTGGCAAAATAGGCGATCTAACACATATTATATTAGAATGTGATTTACAAATTAATAATATAAACGAACTTTATAAGGAATTAATAAATTCTAAGTGTTGTTTTCCAATAAACCTTAATCTTTTAATATTTTCAAATAATATGGAAATTCTTCATTGCATTTACAAACATGTTAAAATGTGTAAATACAAGTTGTAAATAGTATATAGGCATAATCTGTTAATATGGTTTGAAAGAAAAAACATAAAAGAATTAAGAAAATAGATATAGAACAAAAAACAAAAAAAAATACAAAAAAAAGCAAAAAACAAAAAAAGCAAAAAGAAAAAAAAGCAACAAACAAAAAAAGAAAACAACACAAAAAAAGAAGATAATAAAAGAATAAAAAAATAAAATAAAAATATATCAAAACATAATTTATGTATCCATTAAAATATTAGGTATATGTAGATTGATAACTGATAACAAGAAAATTTTGACTATGAATCTGCAATCACTAATAATTAAAATTCAGTCGATTTTAACAATAAACACAAACAAGTCTGGCTAATTGGCTCTGCCAAAGCCATATTACAGGAAAAAAACTAAAGGCTGTAAGAACTTTATAAAATTACAACT